TGATTGTGAGCGCTGTATGATATCAACGTTGCTGTTGCTCGCCTTCCCCCAGAGCTGGGAGACGTAGGTCCAAATGAGCTTAAGGGTGGAGTTGTAGAGAAGAACTTTAAAGTCCAGACACAGGGGTGATCGAGAATTTATAATCCAGTGTAGGCTGCTAGCTTTAAGTCTGAGATGTACTTTCTTGCATTCAATGTGCCTCCACCAGGTTAGGCGTCTGTCGAGGTGGACGCCGAGACATGTTACATCGCTAGCTTGGGAAATCTGCGTACTATTCAAGTTAGCGGGGGGCACGATTGTCTGTTAAGGGTAAACGTTATATGTTTACACTTTTGTTCATTAATTTTGATTCGCCACTTGATAGCCACTTCTCAACTACCACCAAATGATCAGCCAGTTGAGTTGTTGCTCTAGTTGGGCATCTCGAGCGGCTCAGGATTGCGGTGTCGTCAGCAAATGTGGACGTAGTCAGCCTCTCGTTCGTAGGGATGTCTGCTGTGTATAGGACAAACAGGGTAGTGCCCAGTGCGCTACCTTGTGGGACTCCGGCTTCAATGTTATACTCGTTGGATGTCGTTGTAATGCATCTAACCTCAAAGACTCTGTGGTAGAGGTACGACTTAAGTAACTTATGAGTGTTTTCTGTCAGTAATGTTATGATTTTATGCATAAGGCCTTCAAGCCACACTCGGTCGAATGCCTGAGAGACGTCGAGGAATATCGCACTACAATATTCCCGATGTTCGAAGGCTGTACGAATTTCAGAAGTTATCCGGTTGACTTGCTCGATGGTTCCGTGGGTTTCACGAAACCCGAATTGATGTGCCGGGATTAAGTTTTGTTCTCTTAAATATGGTGTAATGCGCGTGAGCAGGCATTTTTCTAGTAATTTGGACAGGCACGATAGTACGCTTATTGGCCTGTGCGACGAGGGAATTGTGTGGTCATTCCTAGGCTTCGGTATCATTATAACCACGGACTTTTTCCATTTTTTGTGATAGCAGCCAAGTTTTGTGATCCCGTTAATAGCTTGCATATAACATCTACTGCGTAGTTTGGAAGTTCAATTATCATTTTTGGGGTTATTAGGTCGCCCCCTGGAGCCTTTTTCGGTTTTATTTGCTTCCTAATGACGTTAGCAATTTCAGGTGCTTGAAACAAAATCGGGTGAGTCTGCGGGTGGCATCATTATAGAGTCGAATGGTAGATCAGGTAGTTTTCTAGGATCTGTAGGCCAGTATGTAGGGCTGTCTGGTGAAACGTAGTCCAGTTTATTGCATGTTTTAATGAGTGCATTATATAATTGCTTTCCTTTGGGGGTCACAAGGCGGGATCCCCAGTGCGTTTGCTTGGCGTTGTAATCTCCTGCTGCTATGAATCGCTCACCAAGTGAATTGTAGAAGTCCATGAATTGGTCTTCGGAGACTGTAAAGCGGGGTGGGCAGTAGACAGCGGCAATGGCAAGATTGCAGTTGCCCAACTGTAATTTTATCGGAGTAGCTTGCAGATGATTTTTTGCAAACCGTTGGTGAAAGTGGTGTTTGACGCGGTCTCTTATTAAGATTCCAGTTCCGCCATGCGCTTTACCATCTGGATGATCGGTGCCGTAGAACGTGTATTCCCGTATTTGAAAGTTATATTTGCTGGTGAGATGCGTTTCTGCCAGCAACATAACGTCGATGTGGTTTTCGTTCAGAAATTTAGTTATTTCAGGTTCATGCTGTAAAACACTGTTGGCGTTCCACAGAGTTATTCGAATGCTAGGCATGGTTTATTTGGACTGCTGAGCCGCAAGCATTTGTAGCAAGATATGTTAGTTTTGCATAAGGGTTTGCATGGTGGTTTTCATGAAGGACATAAATTCCATCATATTTTGTTGCAAAGTAATCATCATAGATTCCATGTTACTTTGTGGCTGTCCCATGGCCTGCTGGATGCTATCAATTTGCGGCTCTATGTGAGCTGTGCCTGATCTTAAAGCACTGGCGTAAGACATTCCGTTGGTGGTAAATAAAGGGCCAAATGATGATCTGGCTGCTTTTGCGAAGATCTCATGTAAGTGTTTTGTGTGTTCAGGGAGCGTGCCGTTGTCGCTCGTTGCATCCGACTTTTCATCATCTTGTAGACTGGACAGCCTCTGTAGTTTGCGGTGTGGTTTCCTTGGCAGTTTACACACTTTTTAGTGAGAGAGTCTTCCTTGTTGGCAGGGCAGGGTTCGGAGCCGTGGCAGTTTCCACAAGCTACACATACTGACCTGAGGGTGACCGTATTCCTGGCAATTTGTGCATTGCACTGGCGCGGTCCGTTTGTGCGGCTCTTCCACTGTGATCCTACGGTGCAGAAGGTACTACAACTTGTAGATCGGGTGCACTGCGTTTTTTTTCAAAGTTCTTCTGTCTGGCTCCAGCTCGACCTTGAAGAGTGGTTGCGGCTTCTTGTTTTTATAACGTTTTTTTGCGCAAAAACCGTTTTCTTTTAAGGCCTCTGTAATTTCGGAGGGGATCACATCGGGTTCTATTCCTGTTGAGAAATAGATCGGTCATTTAATATTTGCCTATAATAGCACCTAGTTAAACGCTCATCATTGTTTCGTTTTATATATAAAAGCTTTAAGCTCACACGCATAGCCGAAATTGCAGTAGATCTGCATTAGTATTGAAATATCACGCGTTTTTCTGCATTATTTTTGTTCTGCTCGTTTTCTGGGCATTCATATAGTTGACTTCACCGCAACCGCTCGCTTATCGCAAAACATATTGTAAAACCGCTTAACCTTAATAAAAATCTAAAAACCTATACATAAAATAATACAGTCCATTTCATTCATAATCATACCAAATTTTTGGTCCGTTCGAGTAGCCGGATAACCGCGTTTGATTTTGAGTTTCTTTGTGAATAATAGAAGACAAATAAGCTGCCGATTTCGTCATGAACGCGATAATGCATCGGACAATTCAACAACGTGGTGCCTGCAAGGGGAGTTTTGCTTTTTTGCTTTGGAGTTTTCGCAGAAGTGTGATAGTGTGGAAACATTGCAAATGAAGCTGGAGCGTCTAGTAGCCACTTTCAACCATTTCATGGAGCTCTCCGATGATTTAGTGGCATTCAACAAGGAGGAAGGATATGAGGATCCTGGATTGGATATCCCTGAATACGAGGAGAAGTTCTACAGAGCGCATTCTATTTTTAGTAAAGCCATTAAGGAGATGGGTGGTCAAGATCATGGACAGGACCAGTCGAATATTTTGCTATCAAGTACAGTGGAACGTCTATTTGAGGGACAAAACCAACTTTTGGAACAAATTCATAATTCATAGGGAGCAGCTAATTTAAGGTTTGAAAAAATTCGCATTCCAACATTTTCTGGAAAGTACGAGGATTGGAGCCAGTTTAGTGATTTGTTCTTAAGCTCAGTAAATAATAACGAGAAACTGTCCAAGTGCCAAAAGTTTCATTATTTGAAATCTTATTTAGATGGGGAAGCACTTTCCTTAATTAAACATATTGCCGTTTGTATTGACAATTACCAAGATGCGTGGGAAAGATTGGAAAATCGTTATAACAAGAAAACGCTAATCGCTCGATCTTTTGTTCAGAATTTTCTTTCGTTGCCAACCGCTAACAATTCGAATATCGCTGAGTTACGTAGGGTAATTGACTCTGCCGACGAATGTATTCGAGGCCTGCACGCGCTGAACTGTGACAGCCGCGATTAAACAAGTTTGGGCTAACTGTAGTGTGTCGTCCAAGGAAGACGTCACCATAAATGATTTATTCACTTTTCTTTTTGCTCATTGTGATACTTTGGAGTCTTGTCAGGATATACACGTAGCGCAACCCTCAAGACCAGCCCAGAGTAGACGCCGCCAAGTCGCTTATCATGCAAGTGGATCAAATCAGTCTTCTCGCGACTGTATATATTGTCAAGGACAGCACAATATATATGCATGCACTGAATTCAAAGCCCTAGATGTACTAAAACGCCGTACCTTCGCCAGGGATACTAAGCTTTGTTTTAATTGCCTGAGTCGATCGCTTCATGTCAGGGATTGCAATTCTTCGAACACTTGCCGTCAGTGCAACGGTAAGCATCACACGCTAGTCCACCCGGAAGAGTCAAGATCGATTCCGTTGGCTCCTGCCCACATGTCTGCCGCTAAAGTAAATATAATTCCATCATACTGTGGAGAGGGCTAACAAGCAAGCTCTACTTCCAACTATTCTTGCCAATGTAATTGACACATGTGGCAACAAGACTACATGTAGGTTATTGCTCGATACTGGATCAACAATAACCATGGTATCTGAGTCCTTTATCCAAAGGATAGGAATTCCACGTACACACGCTCGCATCTCAGTTGTTGGTTTAGGTGCTAACCCGGCTGGAGTTAGCCGAGGTCGCGCTGGCTTTACATTGCTTTCAAGAACCACGACTGCATCATTGGAAGTCTCTGCTTTAATTATGTGTTCTCTGAGTTCTTTGATTCCCGCTCAGCAGGTCAAATCCAGCGCTCCTATCTGGAACAAGATTCGCAGCTTACCATTAGCTGACCCGACGTTTGGAGCACCGGGAAAAATCGACGTGATTTTAGGCGCTGATCAACTGTGGAACATATATTCTGGACATCACCGAGAGTTTGGTATTGAATACCCTATCGCACTGCATACTAATTTTGGTTGGGTTATTACAGGCAGCTATAATGATTGTAGAAACGCATCTACGCACGCACAAGTCCATCACGCTTACGAAGATTTGGATTCCTTAGTTCGATCATTCATGGACACGGAGCAGGTGCATCCGAGCAAAGCAACGATTGACGCCAGTGATCCTGCAGAACAACATTTTCGGACAACGCAGCTCGCCGAGAAGATGGTGTATACATTGTCCAGAACCCATCAGGCCACTTGGTTTTACGTTGCCAAAAGCTTTAAACCGCTTCGCCGCCTTAGAGCGGAAATTCCGCAGTTTCCCTGCACTCAAACAAGAGTATGTTACTTTCATGGAGGATTACTTGAAAAGAGGACACATGGAATTGATAACTGCTGCGGACGCGTCTGAGGATCCAGCACGCTGCAACTATTTGGCACACCACGCAGTGTTTAAAGCGGATAGTACTACCACACGCTTCCGAGTTGTATTTGACGGCTCAGGAAAGGATTCCAAGGGCCATTCGCTTAATTCAAGACTACACATAGGACCACCTATTCAAAGGGATTTAATTGGAGTATGTCTTCGCTTCCGTCAGCATCTGTATGTATTTTGCGCTGACATCGAGAAGATGTTTAGAGGTATTTTGGTGTCAGACGAACACACGCAGTACCAACGTATAGTTTGGAGAAAGGAGGAGAGCGCTAACCTGGATCATTATCGACTGCTGACTGTAACATATGGTTTAGCCTCATCGCCGTTCCTCGCCGTTAGAGTTCTCAAGCAGCTCGCGAATGACTATGCCGAAATGTATCCGAGCGCTGCTGTCGTTCTTAACAGAGATGCGTACGTCGATGATATTCCCACTGGATGCGACAAAATTAAGGATCTCATTGCACTCAAAGATGAATTAATTTCGCTTCTAAGCAAAGCTCAATTCAACCTTCGAAAGAGGAGTTCAAACTGTCACGCCCTTGTGACGCTGCGCGCACAATAAATAAGAAAAGCATGAATTAAATAAAATGAATTAAATGAATTAAATAAATAAGAATAAAAAAGCATGAAACAAAAGAAGTATTTAATTTCAAATTCAAACCGAGAACGCGCGCGCGCCAACGATCGCGCATATAGGGGCACACTAGACCGAGAGAAAGATGGTCACACTTAGCCCGGCAAATCCCACAGACGACGGGCACACTAGATCTCGCCGAGCCCTATATAAGACGGGCCACGGGCCATGGAAAGGCACTTAGCAGCCAACCGTCTAAGGGTGAAGGATCTACTCCCCAGTGGTGGTAAGCAGCGAAGTCATTTTTGGTGGACTGGATCATTCGATCCAAGTCCGCTTATACATAGTAGTTAGCTCCTTAGCTTAGTAGTAGTCCCTCCTCCTGGAGGTATCCCTAGGAGACGTCTGATTTTAGGATCACACCTCCTTACGGCACGGTTCACCGGCTGATCTCTCTCTCTTGCGGCTGACTTCAGGGTCCCCAAGCACTTCTCTCTCTCTTGCGGCTGACTTCAGGGTCCCCAAGCACTTCTCTCTCTCTCTTGTGGCTGACTTCAGGGTCCCCAAGCATTTTGTGGCTGACTTCAGGGTCCCCAAGCAAACTCTCTCTCTTGTGGCTGACTTCAGGGTCCCCAAGCAACAAACTCTCTCTCTTGTGGCTGACTTCAGGGTCCCCAAGCAACAAACCTCTCTCTCTCTAGTGGCTGACTTCAGGGTCCCCAAGCAACAAATTCTCTCTCTCTTGTGGCTGACTTCAGGGTCCCCAAGCAACAAATTCTCTCTCTTGTGGCTGACTTCAGGGTCCCCAAGCAACAAACTCTCTCTCTTCTGGCTGACTTCAGGGTCCCCAAGCAACAAACTCTCTCTCTCGTGGCTGACTTCAGGGTCCCCAAGCACCCTATTCTCATTTCAGGCAACACATCCCGTATTGGTCCTCTCGAACAGCGGAACGGCCCCCGATACCAGGTATTCTAAGTGGACGAAGGAAGCAAAGGCAGCAAGGGCGGCACCCCGACAAATCGGAGAACTCGTTAGTTGTTAATCAAATGTCAAGATATTTACTGAAATAAAACCTAGTCCTAATCAATTACTAAGTAATTTCCCACGACTTCTACTCTGGGCTGGGTCGGAACTCTCTTTCAGCAACCACGCCTGACACAAACAAATTCTTGTGACAAATCCTGGCCATCCCTGAGCAACCCGACAGCGACGAACCGTCACAGTGGCGCCCGAGCAGGTTTAAGTGGTTGCAGGAGATAAACCGACTCCAGCGGAGTAATGTCGAGCTGGGTATATCTGGCACCAAAGAGCGAACTAACGAAATACACAGAGGAGTTCAGATTAGGAACGGCAGAAAGAAGTGAAGATTTAAGACGTCTGTTGGCAGCATTCGCCAAAAAAACGGATCATACAGAAACGGTCAAACAAAGACTTGCAGAACTGTCGGAAAAATATAGGAGAAAAAAAGCCCGGCGAAAGAAACAATTCCGGCGATCGTGGTAACCAGGGAACAGGAGGAGATAATGGCCACTAAAAGAGCAGGTCTAAGCGACGACATGGAAGAAAAATTGGAAAGAAAAATGGAGAGGAAAATGGAAACAGAAGTCATAGACCGGGTACGCCGTTGGGGCATCCGGTATCAAGGAACAACAAACCCACTGGAGTTCCTAAGCAAAATGGAACAATGGGCAGGCGGATACGGAATCCGGGAGGACCAGCTGATACAGACGATGCCATTCATCCTGAAGGGGATCGCGAGTGATTGGTGGAACACCACGCCGAGCATGATCGCAACATGACCGCAGTTCAGAACAGAAATGCTAGAATACTTTCTACCACCAAGGTATGAAGAACAGTTAGAGAATCAGATTGCACAGATGAGACAGAGAGAAACAGAGCCCGTAAGAGAATACGCAATGGGACTAAGAAAACTGATGCAATTCACGAAACTCTCAGAGGAAGCCAAATTGGACCGAGTGTACAGAAACAGCAGGAGCAAGATAAAGCTGTACGCTAGGAGGGCAGGATTCAACTCGTTGACTGAGTTTCTCAAGCTGGCGGAGGAGGTAGAAGGAATAGAGGCAGAGGATCGGACACAGTCAAGCCAACCTGTGCAGCAGCTAAGACCGGAGATATGCATGCGCTGCGGAGGAACCGGACACGGGGCACGCACGTGTAACAATCCACCGAGGCTGTTTTGCTGGATCTGTGGAAGAAACGGTACAAGAACCACGGAGTGCTGCAGGGCGGGGCCGGGAAACGCAGGAGGCCTGAGCAGATAAAGCTGGCAACTCAGGCGGCGACAAAAGAGCCAGCAGCAGGGGAGCAGTTGTGTTGCGACGGGTTCCAAATAGTAGCCCGGATAAGGGTCGGAAGCAGGACAGCGAAAGGAATCGTGGACACAGGAGCATCCAGGAGCGCGATAAGCAGAAACAGATATCAAGATCTGAAACACCAGGGCAGATGGTGTGGAGCCCGTGCAAAAATAACAATGGCCAACGGAACGACGTAGAAGGCGGTAGGAGAGTTCACAGCAGAAGTCCAATTTGGAGGAAGAGTGTTCAGTGTGTCGTTTATGATACTGACAGAAGTAGCAGGAGGAATACTGCTAGGGATGGACTTTTTGGCAGGGGTACACAGCACGCTGAGGTGTGGAAATTTAGAGCTGGAAATAAGAGAGCCCGGAGGCGAAGAGGAACAATCGGAGACGACTACAGAGCAAGAAGACACGACAGGGGAACCATCCGAAAAAGAAGTACAGGACTTTCTGGAGACACAAAGGCAAGTATTTAAAGGAATGCAGGGAACAAGTAATATAACAAAACATAAGATTTACCTCAAGGATGATAAACCGATTAAACAGAGGTACTATCCTCGAAATCCGAAACAACAGGCAATCATCAATGAACAGGTGAACGAGTTGACCCAGACAAAGTAGCGGCAATTCGAGACTTACCAGCACCGAGATCCACAAAGGAAGTACACAGTTTTTTAGGAATGGCGTCATGGTACCGACGGTTCATACCAAATTTCACCGAACAGGCAGGAGCGTTGTAAGGTTTGATCAGGAAAGGACAAAAATTCGAATGGACCAAGAAACAACAGGAATCGTTCGACCAACTGAAAGCGAGCCTAACAAAGGCACCGGTACTGGCATGCCCCGATTTCACAAGGCAATTTAAACTACAAACGGATGCCAGTAACTTAGGCGTAGGCGCGGTCTTAACGCAGGACGGAGAGGACGGGGAGCATGTGATAGCATTTGCCAGCAGGAGGTTGAGTAAAGTAGAGAAAAATTACAGCGCAACTGAAAAAGAATGCTTAGCAATATATTGGGGCATCAACAAATACAAGATGTACCTCGAAGGCTATCGGTTCATAGTGATAACAGATCACATGGCTTTGAAGTGGCTAAATTCAATAGAAAGCCCGTCGGGAAGAGTGGCCAGATGGGCACTAGGTCTACAACCATTTCAGTTTGAAGTCCAGTACAGAAAGGGAAAATGGAATGCGGTAGCAGACGCCTTATCCAGAACACCACAGAACGAGTTAAAAACAATACAGTACACGGAGACATGGATTGAGGAAAAATACAAGGAACTGGAACAAAACCAAGAAAACACGGAATTCAAGATAGAGGCGGGCAGGCTATATAAACTGGGTAGCAATCGGAGAGACACACAACCATGGAAATTGTGCATAACTGAAGCTGAAATTCAACAGGTGTTGACGGAAAACCACAGTACATCAGAAGCAGGACACCTGGGCATGTTCAAGACACTGAGAAGGGTAAAAAACCGATATTTCTGGCCACGAATGAACAAGGACGTAAGGAAATACGTACAGAAATGCGAGTGTTGCCAAAAATACAAGGTATCGCAACAGAAAAAAGCTGGGAAGATGCTGACAAAAGTGGCAGAAGCACCGTGGGAAACCATATGTGTGGATTTCGTAGGACCTCTACCCAGATCAAAGCACGGAAACACCACACTATTAGTAATCGTGGACAAATTCTCGAAGTGGGTAGAACTTGCAGCAATCAGACAGGCTACAGCGGACGCATTCCTACGAGTCTTTAGAGAAAGGGTAATTGCGAGAGTTGGATCACCAAAAACTCTGATCTCGGAGAATACGCAATGGGACTAAGAAAACTGATGCAATTCACGAAACTCTCAGAGGAAGCCAAATTGGACCCAGTGTACAGAAACAGCAGGAGCAAGATAAAGCTGTACGCTAGGAGGGCAGGATTCAACTCGTTGACTGAGTTTCTCAAGCTGGCGGAGGAGGTAGAAGGAATAGAGGCAGAGGATCGGACTCAGTCAAGCCAACCTGTGCAGCAGCTAAGACCGGAGATATGCATGCGCTGCGGAGGAACCGGACACGGGGCACGCACGTGTAACAATCCACCGAGGCTGTTTTGCTGGATCTGTGGAAGAAACGGTACAAGAACCACGGAGTGCTGCAGGGCGGGGCCGGGAAACGCAGGAGGCCTGAGCAGATAAAGCTGGCAACTCAGGCGGCGACAAAAGAGCCAGCAGCAGGGGAGCAGTTGTGTTGCGACGGGTTCCAAATAGTAGCCCGGATAAGGGTCGGAAGCAGGACAGCGAAAGGAATCGTGGACACAGGAGCATCCAGGAGCGCGATAAGCAGAAACAGATATCAAGATCTGAAACACCAGGGCAGATGGTGTGGAGCCCGTGCAAAAATAACAATGGCCAACGGAACGACGCAGAAGGCGGTAGGAGAGTTCACAGCAGAAGTCCAATTTGGAGGAAGAGTGTTCAGTGTGTCGTTTATGATACTGACAGAAGTAGCAGGAGGAATACTGCTAGGGATGGACTTTTTGGCAGGGGTACACAGCACGCTGAGGTGTGGAAATTTAGAGCTGGAAATAAGAGAGCCCGGAGGCGAAGAGGAACAATCGGAGACGACTACAGAGCAAGAAGACACGACAGGGGAACCATCCGAAAAAGAAGTACAGGACTTTC